ATCTCTTTGGTGAATAGGCTGACCAGCAGTTTTAAATCTCTGAATTTTAGAAAAGTTTTTCTGCATTAAAATTAATCTGAAAAAAGCTTTTGATTATATTAATATGTTATACATCCTATATTGTATGGATCAAAACGGTCGTTCCCCTCAATTCACCAAATGGGTTTAAGCCTGAATTTTTTATGCTCCCTCTCTATGATTATAAATATTAAAGTTAAAGGTAATTTTAACTTTTCAAATAACCAAATGCAATGGTGTCCAGACCTCTTCTTTTTCATAATTGCAATGGAAACTTTGTCTTGACTTTTTTATAATGATGTGGATAAAGAATGATATCATCCCATCTCCATTGATAACCTGCCTTTCCATGTCTTATTGCTTCAACGTTTTGGTGGTTTCTCTGTTTTAAGATCACGCTAATGGCTAGATTTTATGATGTGGTTTTTGGGTTTTGGGTGATCATGACCCTCATGCTCAACCCAGCTGCTGTAGTACACAATTCCAATACAGATACTAAACCTCAACTAGAAAATGAGGTATAAAAGAAATTATTAGGTGCGGATGAAGCACACAATTCCAATACAGATACTAAATTTCGTTTGGGACAACTTTCGTACTGCTTCATAAAAGAACTTTTTAGTACAAAATATTAGAGTCAGAATAATATATGCATTACAACTTTAGCTAATGCTGACCTATAATATATCTACACGTGTAATGCACCATTAGGTGATCTATATATAGTAGCCTATACATCTTGTTATGTGAATGAAATGAATCTTTCTGTCTTGCTATCACAATCCTTTCTTTGTTCTTGTATCCGGTTCTGTTCTTGAGTTTCTACATGGTATCAGTAGCGGGCTCATCCTGAGGACCATCCATGGCATCTTCAGCTTCGACGTCGGCATCATCGCGCACGACAGCGGTGCAAGGTGATTCATCCGACAAGCCTCTCCTCTACCCTCTCTCAAATTCATCGTCTCCAATCTCAAAACGCTCCTTTCTCATCATCTCTCCACGGAAAACTATCCGATCTGGCGGAACCAGATCCTCAAACGATTCAAGGCGAATGGCTTCGCACAGTTTCTTGAATCATCATCCGAGTCCGTTTCTTCTCAGGTCACTTCCGACCAAGAACACACCGATCTTGATCCTGGAACCAACAAATGGCTTATCACTGACCAAAACCTCGCCGCAGCAATCTGCTCCACTATTTCTGCTCCGGTGCTACCCTATGTCATGCATCTTGAGTCCACCCATGATATCTGGACTGCCCTTCAAACTCGCTTTCAGTCCTCCAACCCATCCAAGGTAATATAGCTTAAAAATGAGCTCCACAACATATCAATGTGCAACATGTCAATGCAAGAATACCTGATGGAAATCAAGAAACTTGTCGATCACATTGTCTCCGTCAGATCTACCTTAGATACTGAAGACATCATCCTATACATCCTAAACGGTCTTCCCCCTCCATACCAATCGTTCAAAACTGCGATCCGGACACTGCAATCTCCAATCTCCCTAGAAAATCTCTATGCTATGCTAATTAGCGAAAAGATTCATCTCCGAGCCGACACACAACGTTTTTCTACCACACCTGACGTCCATACAACTCTCTATTCAACGCGCAGGCGTGGACGCCGCGGGCAAGGCCGACAACAGCAAACCTCCAACTCGACATCCAAACCTGGATCAAAATCGTCTCTAATTTGCCAAATATGCACAAAACGTGGTCACACAGCGGACATCTGCCGGCATCGGCTTAATGCATACTACACCCCGCCATCATCCCAGCTCAATAACAATGGCCACGCTCTTCTTGCCACAACCGATACGCCATCAACGGACTGGTATCTTGACTCTGGTGTGTCATCGCACATGACAAATGGCTCGGACAACCTTATTCAAGCCTCGTCATACAAAGGCTCAGATCAAGTCACGGTGGGGGACGAAAGGTCTATTCTGATTGCTCGCTCATGCACGGGAATCCTTTCTATCCCGGATCGTAAGTTGTTTCTATCTCACTTACTTCATATACCTTCTATTTCACATAATCTAATTTCTCTCTCAAACCTTGTCACTGACAATCAAATCTCTATCACTTTTGATCCTAAGGGCTTTATTTTTAAGGATTTGCATACTCACAAAATTCTACTCCCAGGTCCATGTAAAGAAGGCCTATATCCGATCTCGATCAAGAAACCCGAAGCACTCAAGCACGCCCTCTCCGCCATCCATGCGGGGAATCCAAATTAGCACGAAAGACTCAGACATCCTCACCAAAGAATACTTTTGCAAGTCTTTTGATCCTACAGTTATTGAGTTTATGTTGTATACGCAGTAACGGATAGTTGTGCTTGTAAGACTTGCAAAAGTCACAAATTAGTGTTTGCAAATTCTGTAAACAGAAAAAGAACTCTTGATCTTCTCCATTCTGATGTATGGGGACCCTCTCTGGTCCCCTTGCACCAAGGATTCCGATACTATCTTCTTGTTATAGATGATTACTCTCGTTTTGTTTGGATATTTCCACTTGCTTTTAAGTCTGATGTTATGCAAATCTTTATTAATTTTATTACTTTCATTGAGAAATAGACGAATAATCAAATTCAAGCTGTGCGTACCGACGGAGGAAGCGAATATGTTAACCACAACTTGCAAACCTTTATTCAATCCAAGGGTATCCAATATCAGTTATCCTTCCCCTACACCAGAGCTCAAACAAGATCGCTAAAACCCATCTGTCGTCTCAATCTGCTTCACCATGAGTCACTCTCTACGGATCCAACGAGCTACACAGAGGCAAACAAATCATTTGAATGGAGACAAGCCATGGCTGCTGAATTCTTCGCTCTCCAAAAATAGGGAACATGGCAACTCGTTCCTCCTCCTCAAGATGCATCTATTCTAGGGTGTAAATGGACCTTCCGCAAGAAATTACACTCAGACGACTCCGTAGCTCGATTCAAAGCTCGTCTAGTAGCCCAAGGTAATCAGCAAGAATATGGGTTCAATTATGGTGAGACATTCAGTCCGGTAGCGAAGCTACCAACTATTAGAGTTCTATTTACAGTAGCACTCCATCACGGCTGGAGAATTCAACAACTCGACGTGGCAAAGGCTTTTTTACACGGCAATCTCAATGAAACTGTTTATATGCGGCAACCAAAAGGATTCAAGGACTCCATTCATCCAAACCATGTCTGCCTACTTCGCAAGGCCATCTATGGCCTTAAACAGGCTCCTCGACAATGGTACACAACCTTCTCCAATCATCTGGTCAGTCTCGGGTTTCAACACAGCAAGGCTGACCCCTCTCTACTCACGTTTCGCCAAGGACACATTCAAATATTCCTACTAGTATACGTAGATGATATACTAGTCACCGACAACAATGAGTCTGCAATTTCTACCTTTCTCAACCAACTCCACGTTACATTTGCGCTCAAACATCTCGGTATTGCTAATCACTTCCTAGGCATCAAGATTCACACAATACCAGATAAGCACTTCCTATCTCAAACTTCATATGCTCTTTCTATAATTCAGCAATCTAATCTCACCAACTGTACTCTATAGCTAACCCATCATGTACCAAGCTGCCGTCCAAGCTTCAACTAGACTCCACTCTCGCGGATCCAACAATGTACAGAAAGATCACTGGTGCCCTTCAATATCTCACCATCACCCGTCCGGACATAGCCTATGACGTCAACGCTCTCTCACAGCATATGCATGATCCACAGCCAAATCACATATATCTACTTAAACGACTTATCCGCTACATCAAAGGGATGCTTAACTTCGGACTACCGATCACAAATTCAGATTACTCTTCGCACTTTCTCGGACGCCGACTGGGCCAGTGATCCCATCACCAGCAAATCAACATCTGGCTACTGTACCTTCCTGGGCAGCACACTTGTTTCATGGGCCATCAAAAGGCAAACTACGGTCTCTCGTTCGTCTACGGAGTCTGAGTAACGTGCTCTTGCCGCCGCAACAGCGGATACTATCTGGCTCAAATGTTTGCTTGCTGACTTTCACATTTCCCATGACCGACCCATCGATCTATACTGTGACAACACATCTGCAATTGCTCTGGCAAACAACCCGGTGTTCCATGCCAGAACCAAGCATATAGAGATTGATCACAGGTTTCTTCGAGAACACATCAACACCAATCATATTCGTCTTCAACCAATCAAAACGATTGATCAAATAGCTGACATTTTGACAAAACCTCTGTCCACGCCAAGATTCAAGCAAATACGGGACAAACTAGCAATCATCCAAGATCCATTAGTTTGTGGGGGGCTATTAGAATCAGAATAATATATGCATTACAACTTTAGCTAACGCTGACCTATAATATATCTACACGTGTAAAGCACCCTTAGGTGATCTATATATAGTAGCATGTACATCTTGTTCTGTGAATGAAATGAATCTTTCTGTCTTGCTATCACAATCTTTTCTCTGTTTTTGTATCCGGTTCTGTTCTTGAGTTTCTACACAAAAAATTTAAATTTAAGAAATTTTTGTTCTAAAAGCCGTTTTAAAAAGCAAGAAGAAAGCCGTCTGAAACAAAGCCTAAGAAAACCTCAGTGGAAGCATTTTCTGATGTGAAAAATGAGAATATTTGTTTGTATTCACTGGACATTTGTTTGAGCCCAACTAGATGTTGTTTCCTTCTCACTCTCTATATACAGAATTTGGTTTTCTTTTATAAATATGTATTTTTTAATGGATTTACATATTTATAGAATTTGTGGAGTTATACACAGTTTTTTCAAGGCCTTTTGCCGCCTTTTTGTAACTAAATCTTGTTTTGATTAATTAGCCTTTGAACTAAGCCTCCAATGTATGTCTGTTTGATTAACATGTTGGAGCTTCAGCTCTCATTTTCCTCCCAAGAAAAAAAAACATTTATTTGCAAATTTTGTAAGTCCGAATAAGGAGTGAGCGCTGCACAGTTAACAATTCTAAGTTCTAACCGTGAATTGTTGTTAACTCGAGGACCGGAAGACCTCGGAGGTGCCGACCGGAACGCTTTCCCTCCGATTCTACCACCGCTCTTAGCTGCCTCCGCATCGCCGACGGCACCCAAAGCCAAAACGCCGGCAGCCACCGCGACAACAGCCAGCTTCGCTATAGGGAACTTATCGCATCGGCTGCCAAAAAAAAGCTTTAATCATACAAAACCAATTTGAAATTCAAATCACATGGATGATAGATTCAGTACCTTGATTGGAAGTCCGAGCCTTCTTTGTTCATGGAAGCTGACGCTCGATACGGGGATAGAAAGAGATGCAAGGGTTTCTTGGTGTTGGTTTGACGTATTGGAGGAAGGAAAGGGTTTCCTGTGAGAAAGTTTCGGTGAGAAGAGAAGGAAATAGCCATGGCTTCTAGAGCTTTTTTTCAGCTCTGTTACTGTCAGCTTGTGTTCAGCGGGGGAGAAAGGAGTGAGAAGGGGTGAAAACTGGAACGGAAGCTTATCTATGAGATTGAAGGATTGCCACGTGGCATTGGTTGCACGGCTCTTGAAAATTTTGTAACAAGGCTCTTTGTTAAAAAATGATCTGAAATAAAAGTTATTTATTTATAAATAATAAGAAAACTGTATATAAATAATACAATGATGATAGTTATTTTATAGAAAAATGATGATTTTAGTGTTAATTGCTTGTAGCATAAGAAACTTTGCCTTTTTATTTTTATAGAATTATGCTTTGGTTCATTTAAAAACTTGCACAAAATATTTATATAAAATAGAAAAATAAATTTCTTATATATATAATTTGTTTTATCAATTTTGAATTTCTTTTTGGAATAAATATTTTCTTTCCATTCTAATCAAATTTTTAATGAATAACTATTTTTTATCACTATTTTGATTAATTAGTAGCACTCAAAATATCTAAATAAAAAATAAATAAATAAAACCCTCTTAAAAATCCCTCACCCTCATCATGCCCACTAGTCATCGCTGGTGCCACTAAACACTTCAATACCCTTTCCTGCGAACTTCGTCTCGCATGGACCCCATCGATGCCCACAGTGCGAGCTCCTATGTAATTTACTTACTTGGATCTGTTAATGCCCTCAACTGCACCTCTTGGTGGCGATGTCGCTTCTACCGAGATTCCTGCAGCCCTTAAGCTCAAAGAGTATGAGCAGAACCAACCTCTCTTTTGATGGTGGGCGAAATAGGATTACGAAGTTCATAATCTTATATATGAAATATAAAAGAAAATTTTTCTTAGAATTTGAGCAGGTGCATGTATTGAAGGTGTATAAATAGTTAAAATGTTTCTTTTTCTAAACTCCTCAAACAATCATACATAAATTTGCTTATTGGGGTTCATTTCTTAGGTGGCTGGCTCAATCATAATGGGCGAGAATTTTTTTATTGATCCACCTTCTTCATGTAATTTTTTTATGCTGTCAATTCTCCAGTTTATTTTGTGGAGCTTCACCTCTCTTCTCTAGTTCTGTAGCTTCTGCATGCATTGAATAAAGCTGACCATGAACAATTAAGATGAAATAATAATTCTCTGCAGAGAAATTTTTAGTGTCTGTTTGGATTGAAATAATTGCAAGAGGAACTGAAAAGGAAAATGGAATAGATAAATGGAATTAGTTTTCATGTTTTTGATTGATTGTGAAGGAGCTGAATGATTTTTCAGGTCATTGATCAATTAAGGTTTTGTTTGTGACGACTTTCTTACTGCTTCTTAAAACAACTTTTTAGTACAAAAATTAAATTTTTGTACTAAAAAGTTGGTTAAAGAAGCAGTAAGAAAGCCGTCCCTAACAAAGCCTAAGTTTATGGGATGCAGATATAAGGTCAATCTGAGATAGTTACAATTTTTTGTAAAGGTGATTGTATATTTATTATGAAGAAAATGGCTTTTTTAAACACTGCTGTAGAAAATCGCTTTCTAATATAAAAATTTCTTTAAAACGGTACAAAGTAGCGATAGTTATAATATGAAAAACAAAGCAATAAAAAAACGGTTCCAAGTGAAGCCATAATTTGATTCATATAAAAGTGTATAGCAAAGGGCTTAGTTGGTCAAAATTAATATGCCATATTTAACTGTAAATTGTTCAGAAGATGGTACTAAAAACTGTAATTAAGGGATTAGTAAAGTTAAATACTGATTATTAAAGACAACTTTGAATGGTTTAGGAAATGGTTGAAAATTCTACAAAATGTCGTATATGGTAACGGCATATGGTGATATTTGGGATTTTCTTTAAGGAAAATCCTCTCCTGGCCCCAAAATCAGTAGCATGAGACACCAGTTCTCCAAAGATAATGTAAGTAAAGGAAAGGGTCCCCATGGCCTATACAGATGACACATGTCGCTTGAATTTGGCAAAGGAGAACATTGGGTGTCTTACCATAAGCAAATGAGTAGGTCCGGACACCGGATCTAAAAATAGGTCCGGATATCCAATTAAAACTTACCACTTGGACTGCGCTTTGGACTGCATTTTTTTACTACGCTTTGACTGCACTTTACCTTCGCTTTTTGACTGCGCTTTGACTATGCTTTAGGTGCGCTTTGACTATGCTTTTGACACACTTGACTTAAAATAATATTTTATTGATGTCCGGACGTATCTCTCATTCGATGACCGGACCTAATAATTTGCCCTTACCATGACTTCACTTTTGAAGTATGGTATATGCTTTAGCATTTCTTTGTAATATGAAAATTTTTTAGGACTTACTAATCCTAATTTTAGAGAATTTTCTGGATTTGATGCATGTAATCATGCATTAAACTAATTATCATTAGGACTATTAATTGAGATTAGATTTATGAAGCTTCTTTTCAGTTCATTTTTATTATATATGTTATAAGTAGAAAATCTATTTTCCCTCTTTTTTTTTATTTTTTTTGGACTGATATTAAAGGGTTGTCATTTTCCTTTATGATGTTGAGCAATCTAAAAATTTAGGCGGAGTACGTTGGATAACGGTGCAATTGCAATGGACAAGGGGACGGGATAGTTGAGTACATGGCAGAGCTTAGTGGTGTGGGAATTTGGCATTGTGAAGAGGCAATAATGAACTAAGAGGTTAATCTCTTGTGCGATATGGAGGTTGCAATGAGAGTGAGGCCGTTGTTATAGAGGAGAAATTTTCATATAAATATAGGAGTATAAATACACTTTTTGTGTTAATAGGGAGTGTAAAAGGCAGTATTCCTTAGTGTTAGTCCTATGTGAAATCTGATTGTGTTGATCAATCGGGTTGTACTATTGTCTTGAACATTAATTCAAATTATTTAGTGCGCTGGGAATTGTAAGGGGTCCTCCTATTGCTTTGGTTTGGGTGCTTTGCATTCGTTTTTTTTCTTTCCATACAACGCCCCAACGTTGCATAATTTGGTGGAAAATGACAAAGTGTAGCACTGCGGTGCTCCAAATCTCAGAGCTGACGGGGGCGCTACGGCAATCAAGATGCAGCGTTGCGGCGTTGTCCTTCAGGTTGAAATCAGAGAGAGGGAGTCCCTCGACTCTACAACTTCGTGCCACAACGCTGCGAGGCCAGCTGAGTAATTTTCTTTCTTGTTTTTCATTAAGGGTTGCCTCCCTTAATAATTGTATTGTATCTCTTGGTTATTTCTATGTTGAGAATGTTGCAAGAGAGAAGAGAAGCAAGTAGAGAATGATGTGGCTATGTAGTTTTTTCTCGTTTTCAAAATTTTTTACATTAAATCACGGTGTTCTTTCTTTCCTTACATTTTATATTTCTTATTTATTTCACTTTGTGTTTTTACTTCCCTCAACACCTGCGCCGCTAATCAAGAGTTTAACTCATATATTCTAATATCTATGACTACTGTTAGTACAAAATAAGTAAAGGAGATGCAATATGAAAAGCATCAGAGCAAGGAGAGACACTTTCAGAAATAAAGGCATGATAAACTATACATTTATAATTATTTTGCAACATGTTTACATCAAAATATATACGCTATCTTTACTTTTGCACTTATCACCTGTCATTATTGTTTGATCATTCAATTAAAATTTTAATAAAAGTCTTAAACAAATATTTTCCAATAAAATAATTATTTTGTTTAATATTACCGGCTAACTTTTACTAATTTCCTTAATAAAATTTTCTGACTGATTTTTACAAGTTCAAATCATGCAATTAGACAAAGTAGCATTTTATTTTTTTTTTCAAATTAATATTCCTAAAATGTACGGTTCCATTAACGGCGTGTTGCCAAATGGAAGAGCTTCCGTTACCGAACGCAGTACAGAAAATGGAAACCAACCGGCAGCCATTAACTGTTTGGTGTCGTTATCCCCATCCCATTTGGTATAAACCTCATAACTCCAAAGAATTAATTTCTTGTTCTTATATAAGGAATATATGTTTTTTTCTATATTTTTAAATTTACAACACATTTATTAAAAAAATATTAATGATTTTAATCAGTTTTATATTACGTTAAAATATAAGCTTTAAAATAAATATAAACATTTTATTTTTAAATAAATTTAATATCAATGATGGATTAATTATTTTAAATTTTAATTTCATATAGCATTATTTAAAAAAAATCATGATATAAATATATTAAAATATATTGACACAATACTTTTTGTATATAAAAATCAGAGCATAAATATAATAGAAACACAAACTTTAATAAGAAGAAATACTTATGCTATGTTTAATTTTTTTTATAGCTTGAAAATGATGAGCTCTTGAATTGGACAGTTAAATTCCATCAGAGTGTAGAGTGTATTTACTTGTTTTGAAAATGACTTAAAGGTTTTTTCTTACTATTAGTTTCTTAGCATGCTTTATATTTGTTTTTAGAAAAAAATCTTTTAGTCAATTTCAGAATAAGTAATAATATTTGCATTTGCATTTTTTTGTCAGAAATACAAATTTATGTAGATTATTATTGAACATATTTTTTTAAAGAAAATAATTAAATTAGCAGTTATAGGTGCATAAAAATAAAGATATTCTATGGCACCTCCAGAATAAACATATAGTTCTACATGTTATGATCTAACCCGAGTAAATGTAACCCACTAAACTTTTGCTCTTGAAGTACTTCCTTTGCATATGTCTAGAAGTGTTATGTGTGCATTTAAATATGCATGTGTTCCATTTGAGAGATTATTCTGTGCAGAGTCCGAACGCATCTGGAGGTCAATTCGGACGCATCATATCATTTAATGCACTGTGCATTGGGTGACGTGACATGTGCGGATTGGCCTCCAGACGCGTCCGGACACTGCACGTAATAATTTTTCATTCCATTGTGGATCCCGGGGGGTTTGTTTGCATGTTTGGAATCTAAAAGCTAGGTTCAGTTGTTTGTTATGTGTTAGAAGTTATGGCGCCTGAGGGCTATTCATATATTTACATAAGAAGAAATTTTACTAGCAGCGAGAAGGGATTCTATTGGCAAAGAGAAGGG